CAACTTAATGACCTATGTTGATTTAACAAATCTTCCACCTAAGGTCAGATGCCAAGGTGCCTGTACAGGAACGTCATCATAGGAATTGTGAGGGGGCCATAATTCAACCAGTAACAAATGGGTCTGGACATCCATGTTTTTTCAGAAGCTCCTTGGGGAATTGGATGGTGAGCTGGGTTTGGGGATCTTGTGTTTAGGAGTTAACTCTGATAGCACTTTGTCCTGCAATAAACTAAATTTTTTTGTCCCCTAAATAATTTCCCCTGTGACGTTGAAGCACATTCTCAGATGTCTGTGCTTGACCAGAATTTTCAGATATCTTAACTTGTCTAGATTTCACTGATGCCTCTCAGATTTTTTTTAACTTTTTTATTATATACATTCATTATAATGCAAAAATCTGAACTGCACGGCTTGATGAATTTTACATAAGTATATATCCGTAGAACCACCACCTAGAGCAGACATAAAACGTTTCCAGCACTAGACGGTTACTGTTGCTTTTCCTACTCACTAACACTCCCATCTACCAACAGAAGGAGATTCTTTCACTCAGTTAATTTTGTCTGTTCTTGAAAATCTTGCACTGCATACTTTTTTGTGCTTGGCTTCTTTTACTCAACTTCGTACCTGTGAGATCCTAGATATTTTTGTGTGCATCAGTAGGTAATTTGGCCCTTGTTATTCCTTTAATTTATTCACTCCATTATCTGCATATACCATCGTTTGTTTATTCTCCCACTGATGAATACTTGAGTTTTTCCTGTTTTTGCTTTGAACACTCTCACCCATTTGGGTGAACATATGCACACCTTTTTCTCGGATATATACCGAAAGGTGTAACTAATAGATCGTAGGGTAGACTTATGTTGCTTTAGTAGATGTTGCCAAAAAGTTTTCCAAAGTGGATATAATTATTCATATTCTCATCAACATGTATAAAGTTCCCATTGCTTTACGTCTTCACCAAAACTTGGTAATGTTAGTCTTTTGCAGCTGGATCATCCTCAGGGGTATACGGAGATAATTTCACATGGTTTTATTTGCAAATTCCTGATGAGTAAAGATTTTGAAGACCTTTTCATATATTTGTATCTTTGATGTTCATTTTTTTGTTTTGCCATTTGTTGTTTGCATAAGCTCTTTTATGAACAGCCTGCCTGTAAACGGCTTTTGCCCATTTTTAAATGGTCATTTGTCTTATTGATTTGTAGCAATTCTAATGTGTTACACATGAGTTCTTTTCCAAACTCTTCTATTGCAAACATCTTCTGTAGCTTGTGACCGACTTTGTCCTCTTTTAATGGTGTCTTTGGAAAAAGAGTAGTTCCTAATTTTGAAGAAGCCTGATTTGTTCATTTTTTTTTTCTTTCATGGTGAGTGCTTATTATTTTCCATTTATAAATCTCTTCCTATTTCACAGTCCCCAGAGTTAAAATATAGTGATATTAAGCAGAATAGTCTCAAATACATAGTATGCCTGACATTTGATAAGTATAAACTTTGCTTTATACTGCATATTTTATTAACTATGAAGGTCTTAATAATTTTTATTCATATAAACTCAGTCAGATCACTCAGGTATAATGTCACTTTTTACTTCACTTGAATGGCTTATGTGTTGCTGCTACTCTTCCTTAGGAAAATGTAAAACCCGATACTTAATACAAAGTGCTAAAACTTGGATAAATACTTTTCGTTATATGTGTCCAAATATGTGATAAGGACAGTAGAACCTTCATAGTTAACCGGCTCCCTACATTGACCACCTCCTTAAGTTGACCTGATTTTCATAGGCCAGACATGCCCCACAGATATTTTATCAGTATGGTAGGCCTAGTTCTTTATGTTGAAAACCTCCATTTGTTGACCAGTTTGTTATAATCCTTTGGGCGGTCAACTTACAAAGGTTCTGCTGTAATTAAAACAATCTGTTTAAAAAAACAACAAAGCATGGTTAAAGTATTACACAGGTTGTGTCAGGGACACATTTGTTGCTAGTTACTATGAGATGTAGAATGCGGACACGCAGAGCACATAAAAAGAGAATATTCTTATAGAATACTGCTTTACATCCTTTGTGGGTTCTTTGTTTGTTTTACATTTTAAGAGCTTTTTATCCTGGAAGTTTAGGGCATCGGTAAACGTAAAGCATATAATATAATAAACCCCCACGTCCCGTCCACTCACTTTTTTTCTAGCTTTTCTTTTTTAATATTTACCATTATTCTATTTTTTTAAATTCAATATACAAATATCCGTTGTATACCCTTAACAATTAGATAATTAAAGTTAACATGACAACACAAAATATGAAATACTTAGAAATAATTCTTCAGAACTATATGGCATTTCTACATGGAAAACGTCTAGTTATTATTGAAAATACAAAAAGACACATGTCTGTGTGTATTGCAAAATTATTATTATTAATGTTTTTTTATTTGTTTAGGTATTCATTCTGTTATAACTTGAGTTATTGTCTTTCTAGTCCCTCTCCAATCACTTTTTACCATTTTTCCACCTTTTTTTCTGATTTGATTCATTTGCCCACATGCATATTTTTTTTTAGAGTATTTCACAGAAAATTCCAGACATCTTATGATTTTAAATGCTTCATGAATCTCTAACATTAAACTTTTGTTTTTGTACCATTATCAAGCCATTATTACATCCAACACAATTAACAATGACTTCATAAACTCTCTAGTACCTGGTCTATAGTTAGATGTCTTACTTATTGCATAGTTGTCTTCTTATAGTTGGTTTGTACAAATAAGAATCTAAATGTCTTCTCATAATTATTTCTTGAGATTTTTAAGCCTTTCTATGAGAATTTAGTAAATACTGAACTCCTGATTGAGTAAAGTTAATGCACGTGAGCATTCCTGCCGTGGGGATACATTTAATTTCTTGTTTGTTTCCACTTTTTTCTTTCTACTGTATATAGGCGTAGTGAGCATTGTACAAACATTACTTTAAGAAAATACTTTTAAACAGAAAAAACCAATATCATTATTCTATTATGACTTAAGTATTTTTAGGTGATAATTTAGGTAAAATGTGCATATTTGGCAAAGTTGTTTTCGAGGGTATTACATATGGCTCTTGGTGCCTTTGAATATTGCTGTCAAAATAATGTTCATAAAGAAACAAATAGTATTTGTTTTCCTGAAGCTTAGGAGTTCACGATATTAAATTTTATATTAAAAATTATATGTGACATTCAAGTTAATACAAATTTATAATACTGTATTGGGATAATCAAGATTGAATGGCATCACAAAGTTTTTTGTCATATCTTTATATAATGCAGACTTCACATATTGTATTTTAATTACAGTTTTTATAGGAGCTGGAGTATGCACACATCCAGCATGTGTGTCTTTTTTTGTTGTTGGTTATCTCTGATTAGTTCCAGTTGTGGATCTTGTACATAAAGACATAAAAACAAAACCCATCTTTATGCCTATTTTTCTTTCCTTTATTTTTACCAGTTTCCCGTTTGTATTGACACTTTGATTATTCTGATAGGGTCTCTGAATATGTATTTTTTCAGTTTTATATAGAAGAATAAAAAATATAGAGAGATTTATTTCTTAGTTTTAAATCTATGAATCCCCATTTTTCTTCTAGTCTTCTTATTTTATGATATAACCTTTGTGTTATAGTAAACATAAATAAATAGAACAACAGTATAATCATAAGTCACAAAAAATAAGTACAAACATCATTTGATACTTAATAATTGTTTTATGGTGGATTACATGTGACAAACAACCTTCACACGTTTCGTCTTCACAGTTCTGGTAAGTAGGTAGGCACCTGCTGTAATTTCTAAATATTCTATTCTATCCTATCCTATCCTATTCATTTATTTGAGACAGAGTCTCACTCTATTGCCCCAGGCTACAATGCTGTGGTGTCAGCTTAGTTCACAGCAACCTCAAAGTCCTGAGTCCTTCCTTAGCCTATAGTCCCGAGTAGCTAGGGCTACAGGCAGCCACCACATTGTCTGGCTAAGTTTTCTATTTTTAGTAGAGACAGGGTTTCACGCTTGCTCAAGCTGGTCATGAACTCCTGCAATCTTCCTGCCTCAACCTCCCAGAGTGCTAGGATTATAGGCATGGCCCACCATGCTGGACCTATTTATTTATTTATTTATTTTGGAGACAGGGACTTACTCTGTCACCAAGCTAGAGTGCAGTGGCGTCATCATAGCATACTGCAACTTTAAACTCCTTAGTTCAAATGCTCCTCCTGCCTCAGCCTCCTGTGTAGCTGGAATTACGGGGGTGAACCATGCACGACTAATTTCTTTTTTATTTATTTACTGCAGAGACAATGTCTTGCTATATTGCTGAGATCAGTCTTGAACTCCTAGGGTCAAAGGCATCTCCTGCCTTGGCCTCCCAAGTGTTAGGATTATAGGCACAATGACCCATACCCGTCCTAATCTCTATCTTATCGATGAGTACAGTCCTCAAAGATGTTCAGGTTTTTGCTTAAAGTATCATCAGTTACCTCTGGATCTGCACCTGAGTTTTATTTATCACAGTCTGGTTGTCATTCCATTAAACCATAACTGATTTTCCTTTCAGTAATCTTAAAGTAATAATCTGGTTTTCAGTTTTGGTTCTTGGTTAATCAGTTGTATTTTTTCTGCTTTAATTATGGAAAATCTTTCTGAAACATTTTCAAAACTTACTATCTTGAACTGAGCTTTTAGCATTGTTAGTATCAGCTGAGCATATTACAAGTCATTCGTGTTACATTTAAGTAATGTAAGAAAATTCAAGCATGCGTTACACAACAAAGCAGAAAAAGAGTATACAAAAGTTCTCAAGGACCTTTCCTTCCACTGACGTGCATCAAATGTGATTCCTATAAGGTTAATATGAAATGTTAGTGACATTTTAAACAAGAGACGTAAAATGAATTAATACATTTAATTCCTAACTGCACTAAATTTTTGTGGGTATTTTTGTTTTGTCTTCTAGTGGCTTTTCATGGCCTACCACTGAAAATCAAGAAAGAACCCCACAGTCCATGTTCAGAACTCGGCTCTGCCTGCAGTCAAGAACAGCCCTTTAAATTCAGCTATGGAGAAAAGTGCCTGTACAATGTCAGGTAAAGCAACCAGCTGTATGGGCATAAAATGTGGCTTTTATTGAAACAAAAAGTCCAGAATGATATAAAATCTGAAGTCATATTGTATGAGTTACATTTTTCGTATGTAACAAGCTAATTAGGTAATGCATTTAGCAGAACCCCAAAGAACCATTTACCATCCAATCACACAGTTTTAGACTCATTTTAAAGCAATAATTTTCCTCCTAATCGTTAGTTACTTTTCTACTGTAGTGATGCATCTTGGGTTTGAAAAGGGGTCTTATTTGGCACAAGCAGCTTTTGAAAGGTCCCATTAGAATGAACGCATTATGCACTTTAGATAGTTTGTCGGGGAAAAAAAATGAAACATTTGGCAGGTCTAAGCAGTACATTAGTTATCTGACAGGCTTTGCAGATGATCTATAAGATGAGTTCATGGACAATTGCAATAAAACTAGACTTTCATAAGGCTTAGCAGAGGCTATTATCTATTAAAAAGCCAGTTGTTCTTCTGATGATAACAAAGGGTGGTGCAGTAAAAGTACATTGTTCCTTTGTTAGAAAATTTGATAACATACGTGTTCATTAAAAACCCTTTGCAGTAAATTGCATGCTGCTACTTTTCATATTGGCCTTTAATTGCATAAGAAAAAGTTGGCTCTCTCTATTAAATATTATTGCTCTCAGTTACAGTAGAAACTTAGTTCTTAACAGGAATTAGTTGGAAAACTTATAAAATTGGTGGCAAATATTTGCACCGTTTTATAAGTTACATCAATTCAGGGTCATAGTACATTGTATTCCTAAGGGGTCTTCTGTTTCCTCCTACATTTGCTACCCACGCTCTCTTTGTCCAAGACACGTAAGATGGAAGAAGGTGCCACGCTGGTGGCTGACCAAGTACTGGACAGTCTATTACTATTTGTTCTTGCAAACTTTTGTATTTGCTTTTCTAAGAGCTTCACCAAAGCCTAAAATCATGAGTCAGCTCAATAGCAACTGCAAAACTTGCTAACAAAGATCTCTTGTAGAAGCTAGTAAAGCCTACTGAGTTCAGATAAGACCGTGTTGATCAGTCCGAGTTTAAGTTTATATTTTGGTTTTATTTTTGCATGTTCTTCTTACAAGTACAATGTATCCACAGGATAATACATAGGAAAGAGAGGAGTTTCTTGTCAATGGATCACTTACATATAGAATTGTTATTGCGTTTCAGCATTGATCGGACTTGTGACTATACAATCACCACTGTTTTGTAGAACATATCTGCCATCCATAAATGGACAGTGTAGGAATTGTCTGAATATTTTGAGTTTCTTTGGGGGACCAATAATTCCCACATCGATGTATGATATATATCATAATTCTGGTCCATTTCTATACAAGCAGTACAATTTAGTACAACGTTTCATGGGGGAAACTGTAATACATAGGATAGAAAATGCATTGATTTTTTCCTTCATTCCTGGAAAAGAGTCAGATGAACCATTTTACGGAGACGTGGGTTTTTACTCAGACATACAGTAGCTCCTCCATAGATGACCACCTCTCTATTGACCTAGTTTTCGTGGAGCAAACATGAACCCTGTGCCACATGTATGTATCAGTGTAGCAGGCCTGGTTCTCTATGTTGACCACCTGCATATGTTGACCAGTTTGTTACAATCCCTTGGGAGGTCAACTTACAGAGTTTCTGCTGTATTGGTAAAGAACATTGGTAGAACCAAACTTGAGGTTCTTTTTATGAATACTTTTGACTTGCTTTAAACCAAGAATAGGCTTAGGCAGCATGTATTCTTTTACTTATGTAAAGTATTTTGGCATGTGGATATAGTTCTCTTGTATTGATGGTATAACATAATAAATTATTGCATGTCACTTCAAAAAGAAATGTTTCCTTTTAATGGAAAAGTGTATACTGATGAATGCTTTTTATTTTATTTTTTATTTTTTTTCAGACAGAGTCTCACTATGTCGCCCTCACTACTAGTGCTGTGGCATTATAGCTCACAGCAACCTCAAAGTCTTGGGCTTAAGCAATACTCTTGCTTCAGCTTCCCAGGTAGCTGGGACTATAGGTGCCCACCACAATGCCAAGCTACTTTTTGTTGCAATTGTCATTGTGTTTTTTTTTGTTTGTTTGTTTTTAAACTGGCCTGGGCTGGGGTTCAAACCCACCACCCTAGGTGTATGTGGCTGGTGCCATAAGCACTGTGCTACGGGCGCTGAGCCAGTGCTTTTTATTTTAAAAGGAAATATAACCTTTTAACCTAGAAATGTCCTACTGTTAAGAAATTTAAATAAAATTTGGCTTTAGTAAAATATTTTGTAAATTACAGAAATTAAATCACATTTCTGAAAACTACACACAGGAATGTACTTTAAATTCATAATATAAAATCAACCTTACTCATTTTGTTCATTGTAATTGTGAGTGTTTGGAAGTCAAACTTTAAAAGGATTTCATTCTTAATAACATTATTTTGTACTCATTCTTATACTCCAAGAAAGTATAATTAAATATATCAGAGACATTTTAATTTACCTCATTTGTCTTCATTATTGCATGTGAGGAAGTTAATGGCAAGCTTCATTTATTCAGTATAATAAAATGAAAATAAAGTAAAAGCATTGTCATCTTAAAATTCCACCACAAATAAAGGCAAGCCAGGTATTGTCTCCATCTTATAAAGCTGATGTTAGTTCTTCTTATAAAATTTTATGTAATATAGAAAAATTATAATGCAGCACTAATGATTTAAGAAGAATCTATCCATCTTTCTCAAGAGATATATCCAGGATAGAAATAATCCCATTTGCCTTTGTTGACCGTGAAAAATTTTCCTTATACTGAGTTGTTTGAATACGTATTATACACATTTTGTATTTACACCATTACAGGAGTTTTATTACTTTTTCCTATTTTCTGTTTAAAGGTACGATGATTTTGAAGTTTACATGTTCTGGAATTAAAGAACACGTGACGTTTTAACTTTTTTTTAACATAATATTTTTTCTTTCCTTCAATTGGAAACTTGTTTTTTAGTTGCTTCAAAGAAACAGATGTTCTCTTTTCTTTTGTTCCCTTGGCAGTGCCTATGATCAGAAGCCACAAGTGGGAATGAGGCCCTCCAACCCCCCCACCCCATCCAGTACTCCAGTGTCGCCGCTACACCATGCCTCTCCAAACTCAACTCACACTCCGAAACCTGAGCGGGCCTTCCCCGCTCACCTCCCCCCATCGCAGTCCATACCAGATAGCAGCTTCCCCATGGACCACAGGTAATCGCAGAGACCATTCGCAAAAACTAGTTACAGCATTCTTGGACGAAATTCCTATTACCAATTCAGAAGACCTAGAGTAGATTTAAGGTGACCATATTAATTTTGCACATCTGTGCAAAATATTTTTAGAAAGAGCTTGCTCTATCTATACGGACAGATAATTTGTGGAGAAGGTCACTTATAAACATTCCTTTTATAAACATTTAAATTGGTTGCTAAAATGGAAAATTAATCTATCTACTGACATTTGAACATTTCCCTTTTGCTTTGCTTGAATTAAATTGCTTCACTTAAACTTTAAATCAGATGATCCCATTTTTATGAGCATATGTGTGTACTTGTTCTGTAAAGTTAGGAGACTAATTTTAGTAGGTGGCTTATGGAATTAGGTTCTTTACCTTGGATTGAATGGTTTAGCTGTACATAGTTTTGCAGAATAGGACTTATTTGATTAAAACTATTTACCATCGCTTGCAAGTGATGAATATTTAATGTCAGTAGACACATGACCCCCGGACACTGAATATACAGTGAAAGAGGTAGAGGCTGAATTAGTTTTATTAAGGAAGGAACAAGATGCAACTAGAACATAGAGTGAGGGAGAATTCTATGCTGGGTAATTCATGACTCCTAGAGAAGAAGAAATTCATATTTCAATAAAATGTTGGATTATCGTTAGAGATACTGAGATACTGCCTTAATATACAACTTAAAACGTGGTTACTTATATACAATGTTCCTCTTCCTGCCTTCTACTTTGTACTCCGATTTAACCAGGGGTGCACTGATAAATGCTGAACAGACTGGATAGGAGGAAAACAAAGAAGGGCTTATGTGTAGCGTCTGCTGAGTTTATGATATAAATACTGTGCTCCCGATGGCTGACTGTGCACCATCACTAGCACCCTTGAACGTGGAGTTGGAAAGAGATAAAGCAGTTGTGCACCACATATCGTCTTCCTGCCATTCAGATACAGTAAACACGGGTAACGTCAAGACCATACTTCATAGTGAAATGTAGGGAAATAATCAGGAAGTTGTGAGTTTTGAGTTTTTATTGCCTCTGTTTTTAATATATATATATATATTTTTTTTATTGAATGGTAACTGTGTACATTGATGCCCTTTGGGGGTACAGTGTGGTGTTTTCATACATAATCCAAGACACTTCCATCAAACTGGTTAACATAGCCTTCATGTAACTTTCTTAGTTATTATGTCAAAACATTCATATTCTACTCATATAAAGATTCACTTGTACCCTTGCAAGATGAACCACAGAAGTGAACCCTCGAATCCCTCTCCCTCCCCCCTCTCCCCCTCCCTCCCCCCTCCCCATAACCTTAGGCTGTTATTAGGTTATAGCTTTCATATAAAAAGGTTTAAATTAGTTTCATAATAGGTGTGTGTTGTTTTTAATATATTTTTTGATTTTGAAGTTATATAAGTTAATTCTCAATAATGGCTGCGTTTAACAATTGGCTCGAAAAATTCCTGCAAATTGAACAATAAGCCAGTGAAAACTGGCTCTGACACGCCATTGTAAAAATAACCAAACCAAAGGAATCTTCTAGATCAGCTCAGAAAAGCAGCAGATATGCCACTGGCAACTCCTTGAAAATAAGGAAGCAGTCAGACCAGCTTTTTATAGGATTTTTCATGAGACTCAATCTCAAATTCAGTAACTCATTTTGCTATAAAGGGATGCGATGTAAGCGTATCTTTTCTACTGTGGTTCCCATCAGTAAGTCTTCTTCTGTCGTAGTTATTAAATGCTCCCTAGTATCTTTTTCTCCTCACCCTGTAGACTTGAGACTTTGCCGGAGTCTGATGGTATGTGCATCTGTGTAAACAGTTTGGTAAATACAGATGAAAGAATTCCTACTGCAGGGTGGGCCATTAAACAGATGCACATTGTGTAAGACGAAAAGCGAACGAGAGTGTGAACCAAAAAACAAGTTTTATTTTGTCCATTTCTGGTAACTCGCCAGAGTTCCTGATAACTGAGTCTCTCACTCTTCAAATGAGTGCCAGAATTAGAGACTGCGTCGTCTCCTCTGTGTGCAGACCAGCCGTTTCTTAGGCAAGGTGGCTGCTGAATAAGCAGTGTGCCTGTTTTTAGGTGACCTAACTTGAAATGCTCTAGCCAAGTCCATTTTAGTTTCTCTACTTGAAGTCAAATATCTGAGACTGAGAACAGCCGGCCCGGAACTCCAAGAGGGAGGCTCGGGGTCTTTTCCCACTGCCCCCCAGCTGAGTTTTGAGGACAGTACCAGCTGGCCCATGCTAGGAAAATCTCTGAAGCCGTATGTTTCTGAGGAGGATTTCTTAGAGGGCTCTGGCCAACAACTGACAGTCCCTCAGTTATAAATGGCATGTTTGCTCTGGGAACAGATCCTTTCCCCAGAACGCCCCCTCCAGCCCAGGCACCCCACTTCACTCTGGGAATGTTTTGTGGCCAGCTGGCCTGCACCCTGCTTCCTCTCCTCAGCCCCACTCTGCCCCTGGGGCCAGCCCTCTGGCACTTGCCTTCCACCTGCCTCGCAGCAGCCCCATCTCTTTTTCTCAGCGTTTCCCCAATTACACCCTGTTTATCTAACAGTTCCATCAGCAAGCTCTCTCTACCTTTTAACTCTCTTCCAGAAGCTTCTTGAAACACTTTCTCTTTCCCACTGGTCAGTGCCTCCCAAGAATGGCACCTGAAAGCATGCAGCTTTCTGGGGGGTGTGTGTGCCTCACAGATATTGTTCCCAGCAAGTCCCCACTGCAATCAGGTCGACTCGTAAAAACAAATGCCTTGATTCTCTTACAAAGCTTGCAGAACAAGTATTATTAACTTCCTTTTAAGGCTTCACAAGGGAACCAGTTTCTTATTTTAACTTCAAGTTACAATTTTCTGATTCACTCCTTGACAGTTCTTAATGATAATTTCTGTTTCTTTTTTTGGCTAATGAAATAAGCAAGGGAAGGAAAATGAATGCAGCGCCAGTCAGCCTCACTGTTTCGCGGTATCTGCCTTCTAAGTTTATTTGCTGCAGGTGTATGTAGGTAGGATTTCAGCGCTTTCCATGACCACCGGGGAGCTGAGAGTTAAATCGTAGGATGGAGTATTCTTAGAAATACCAAAGGGATTGCTTTGCCATTCTTTAGCTTTTCCTTTATTTTCATCGAACATTCCTGAAATTAAATGCTAACTTTACAAATTAAAGTCTTAGCCATGCTTTTAGTGGGCATGGGGGGTTTAATAGTCTTATGTTTGCTCATAGAAATGTTAGGTAGGTTATTTTTAAGCACTCCTGGGGCATTTTTAGAGCACTTTTAAATCTTTAATTAATCCACGTCTTTGTGGTGGGTCAATGATATTATGGATGAGAAACACAGAACAGAAAGATTATGTGATCAGCTAATCGTTACACAGTATAACCAAGAATAACAGAGCACAGGACTCACTTCCAGCCATCCACTAAGGCCTCAGAACTTCCTGATGACCTAACAGCCTGGCTTGCCACAAACTAATGCACCACATCCATGTTATTTTCATCTTGAGACGTCAGCTGTATATTTATGAGTATTTTTATCCACCTGGTATTTTGTTTGAGGCTATTGGAAGCCAGTGGGTAGGTGGTACTGTTTGACAGTAAAGAAGTGGCCTTTTTAAAGCCAGCTCCTGTTGGATACCCTACAAGACCCAGTTTTATGTCTCACTGGAGCACAATGTTAATTAGGACACTGCTGAGAAGTTAGAAGTCCGTCCAGTTATTTCTCTCTTACTTCCTCAGTAACCAATAGAAATGGAAGGAAAGCCAGTACGTTGGTTTTTACTGGGTAGGTTTTCGGTTTGTGGATCACTTTGATAACAGAATTAAAAGAGGATGCAGTTTGAGATCAGACTGTTTTCCCTCTTATTCTTCTAGATAATTATGTGAGACCCTTTTTAGATGGAAGTTACGTCATTTATCGAATTGACTAACACCTGTGCATTTTAGCCTCAGAGTATGCATAGATTTTCTCAAAATAGTGCAATGCTCTTCTGTCTCTACTCAAAGCACAACTTTCTCTACTGAAATGGCACATGAAGGAACTGAGGAGAAGGGAATGCAAGTTATGGTATGATAAAAACACAGTGCTACTGACCTAGAACAGAGAAATCCAGTGTCCAAGCAGTGAAAATTGAGTCAGGATTTTAAAGACTATTCCATGTTACCACCTCATCTGAAACACACTCTCTTCTTCCCTAGATTTCGCCGCCAGCTCTCTGAACCTTGTAATTCCTTTCCTCCTTTGCCAACAATGCCAAGGGAAGGACGTCCTATGTACCAACGCCAGATGTCTGAGCCAAACATCCCCTTCCCACCACAAGGCTTTAAGCAGGAGTACCACGACCCCGTGTATGAACACAACACCATGGTTGGCGGTGCAGCCAGCCAGAGCTTCCCCCCACCTCTGATGATCAAACAGGAACCCAGAGATTTTGCTTATGACTCAGGTAGGCTCATGCTTTGACGGAATCACATACAAGGCATTTTTTCACCTCCCTGTCACTTTGCTTAGTGGTGGTGTCAGATTGGGTGGCTCTTGACCATTTTGGTGTATGTGTGTGTGAGATCTTTCTGATTTTATCCCTTAAATGAAACTTCACATGTGAAAGATTGGAATATCGAAATGTTTCAGCATGAGCTGAAGGTGGAAATAGTGTCTAAAAATGCAACCAGCCCAAAGAAAAGTTTAGTTTACAAAATTATGCTTCCAAGCATTAGAAATGTTTTCTTGATTCTTTCCTTTTTTCTTCTGTTTTACTATTGCAGTGCTATTTCATAACAATGTTTATAAGACATAATATTCTTCTGGACTGGATCACTTATTGTTGGAACTTTTTAAAGAATAAGTTATTGGTGGCAAAGATGCCAAAGGTTCATAAATATGAACTCTCACATATTTGAAGAAGAATAGCAAAACACAAACGTACAGTTTGTTCACAGAGCTGTGCATTGTCTCAGTGAACTAGAGAGTAGTACAAAGTAATATGTCAAAGTGGGGAGAGAGATTTCCTGAAAGGAAGGGGGGGCTTAGAATCTTTGGCAAATGTTACCATAAACTTTGGCAACATTTGAACCTTCAGACCTTAGAAGAATTACTTAACTGGTCTCTTCTGAGATTTTCCTGCTATAGTGTTTGAAATCAGGACATCTGCTTTTCACACATGTCAGACATTTTGAAAAGATATATGAAATAAAAGTTTATACTAATAAGAAGGGCACCCTGTACTTGCAAAATATTATTAATAACGTTATTGTAGCATAACATTGGAAATATTTGAAGAGCACCATTTCCTGGTTACAAAGTTATAGTCATTCTTTACGAAGAAAGAGTTACTTTCCTAGTCATAACTCAGCTGGGTTTTTATATCCATCCATTCAAATAAAGAGAACTATCTCCAGTCTCAGTTTTGAACGTGAATAAAACTATGTGCTTTATTATGAACTGCCGTTAAAGCTTGGCAAGAGAGAGGCCTATAATTTCAAAGTCTCCCTCTGAACATCTTTTGACTGCACGCTCCCTCAATGGGCAAGAAGTTCACAGGATGAAGGGGACTGACCACCCTGAGGCATGCCTGAGCCTCTAGAAGGCATGCCAGCTCCCCAGATTCGTGACTTCTCTGTCCAGTTGAGCCCACTCTGATGGCATGACTAGGTTCACCCTGGCACCTTTTCTGAAGGCAGAGCACACAGCTCCTGTGCCTGTACACAGCACTGGGGACATGGGAGCGGCCAAGGGGCAGCTGTTTGTCAAGCAATGGCGCTGGAGCTTGGATGTGCCCACAAGCTTGTGAGTCCCCAGCATTTAGCCATAATGTTTAATCGAAGGATGGAGAGTCAGGAAGGGACGTGGGCTGGGATGCAAAGATTGGACATTGTCTCTCTCCATACCATCTTATTCTATAGGGATAAATAATTTGGAGATTTCCTCAACTGCTAAATTTGACCTGGACTGCCAGTTTGTTAATGTGGCTTGCAGCATATCTTCAAAGATGTGGAGGAGAGACCACATGTATCAGTTCGTTGGTTGATTTATCATTTAAAACATTAATTCTTGCCTCAGAGCCTGTAATTTGGGAACAATCTTAAAATGTCCCATATTTGATTCAATGTAGAACGTTTCATATCCATCCAGATATCCATAATTAAGAACCTTGCAATATAACAGACTTTATAAGAGATAGAATACATTTCTCTCTGTAAATTTCAAATCCTGTTAAGTGATATTTCCCCAATTCTCCAAACCACATTTTAATTTGTTGCAGTTTTTTAAATTCATCATGTTTCAAGAAATGTTATATGGAAATCCTATAAACCAGCCTAAAGAATCATTTCAAATGACTTGGATAGCCTAGCATTTGAAAGTTTCTTTATGTCCTATAAGATAGAACAGTAGGTAGGGCACCGGCCACAGACACCACGGGTGGCAGGTTCGAATCTGGCCAGCTAAAAACACAAATGACAACTGCAACAAAAAAATAGCTGGGTGCTCTGGCGGCTGCCTATAGTCCCAACTACTTGGAAGGCTGAGGCAAGAGAATCACGTAAGTCCAAGAGTTTGAAAGTTGCTGTGAGCTGTGATGCCACAGCATTTTACCCAGGGTGACATAGTGAGACTCTGTCTCAAAAAAAAAAAAAAATCTTTTTTTTTTTTTTTTTTTGAGACAGAGCCTCAAGCTATCCCCCTGGGTAGAGTGCCATGGCATCATGCTCACAGCAACCTCCAACTCCTAGGCTCAAGCGAGTCTCCTGCCTCAGCCTCCCAAGTAGCTGGGACTACAGGCGCCCGCCACAACGCCTGGCCAAAAAAAAATCTTTTTTTGAAGATCTGTAGAGCACCCTTTGTGAGTGTGCCATATATCTTACAAATGACTTGTAAAATAAAAGCTGTTAATTTTATGTTACTTTCTTCCCTCTAAATTGTATTTCAAATTGCCATAATTGCACACCACCTTTGAATTCTACGTTTGATAATGCCAATAGATTTGAAAGGTAAAATAGCAGAATGGTAAAGATGTATCTTTGGGATATAGGTTAAAAGAAATGTAGTAACAGTGTAACCAGGGCCATGAAAAATTAATCTCTGGGTATCAAAATATATTTTACTGGCTACCAAATTGCTGCAATTAAGTTGATATATCTGTATTGAAATCAATGGGTATGATTTCTAGATATATTGTTTTATTGTCATTAATTCTTTGAGCCTTGCCGAGAGCATTTTAAATAACCTTTTATGCGATCAGATGTATTTATCACTGATTTCTTTTTTTACCTGTTAAACTTGACCAAACAGCACATTACATTAAGAAATAGTTTATACATGGTTTAAAAACAATGCAAAAACCATTTTCTAAGTCGGTTAACTCAGCATCTATGATCCAAAGGTTACCCTTTCAGACGGCTGCTAGAACTCTTTATTGCTTGATTCAATATACCATCAATGTTGTGAAAATAAAAGAAGCCTTGTACGGGAAAAGGCAACGTGATTGTGCTCTAATAAAAGCTGACATTAATTACGACATGGGAAATGGAAGCTCTATTAGTTTTAATTATAATTATAGGAATGCAATTTCAACTGCTGAATATTTAAGATAAAAAATGCAAAATATTATGTTGGTAGAATAGAAATTTTTATTCAGGAGAAGGGAATAAAACTTGGATCAGAAGTGAGGAAAAGTGAGGAGTTGAGAAATAGATATTTAGGGCCAATTCAGTGAAGCCGTACAGTGGGATCATGATTATATCTTGATATGAAGTTCTAAAGGAGCCAGGCCAGTACGTCTATTCTGCTGCTTTCCTTTTCTTTTTTTTCTAGCCTAATAGTGCTGAACAAAGCAGTACAGTTTTATTTTATTTTATTTTATTTTTTTTTTGGTTTTCTTCAATTCAAGGTGATTTTTTTTTTTTTGTCTTTCTTGCCCATAAGACCAAGTGACCACATAAAAAAGGTTAAATATGCATTGAGTGCTTCGTTAGGATTGCCTCCTGAGAGTCCCTATGCGATGTTCCATTTTTACAGAGTCATGGCTATACTCATGTATGTATAGAAGGTTTTGCAAGTTTAGAAAACCCAGGGAGGTGAGGCTGAGGCAGATGTTTTAGATATTTATCGAAATATATTTTATTAAAGTTGCATATGGTTGTTGTTTGGTTGGTGGTTTGCTTTCTGTTTCACTTCATTTTATTTTATTTTCCAATATCTTAAGCAGATGTTGTTTTGGGGTTTTTTTAGCAGTTTTTTTTTTTTTTTTTTTTGACCAGGGCTGGGTTTGAACCCACCACCTCCAGCTTATGTGGCCAGTGCCCTACTCCTTGAGTAATAGGTGCCGCCTGGAAGTGTTTTTTTGTTTTTTTAGGGGGCACATGAAACTAAACTTTGAAGAAAATATCAGCACGTAATTTTCATATACTTTGATGGGTAATTTTACTCTCTGCAAATTATTCTAAAAAATAGTAAGAGATACACCGTGAATGAGCGACAGGAGAGGAGAATGTTAAAACTCATCATAGGTAAAATCGTGGATGTAAAAATGTCAAGAATCATAGCTCTAAACATATTACAGGTAAAATAAGTTATGGCTACTTATAAATGAAATGTTATGCAGCAGCAGTTAGGCGTCAGATTTTTGAAAAATATTTAACGAAATCAGATTATTGAGTTTGGGGGGAAAAAAGAGACTATTTAAAGTATGACTCATGGAAAATAAGACCTGTACAGAAAACTCCTGACTATGTAGGGGTGGTAATAGTATAGGTGGTTTCTATGGTGTCTAGAAAGTGCTTTGTAGTTTAGCAATGCTCATGTACTGCTTTCCTAATCAGAAAGGATAAGTATTATTTTTAAAATTATCCACCTATTTAGAGTTGAATAAGATAAATGTCCAAATTAATCACTTTTATAAGTGAAAAGAAGCCTAAGTGAAGGATGATATTATAGTCTCATACGCTGCAAGCTTAAATGACTTTCCATTAGGGTCTAAAACCACCTTAAATGGAAGAGGAAAAATTAATGCTAATTGGTGGATTCACATTCATCTCCCCACAGTACTTACAATTCCAACATTCGTACTGTGTTCTTTGCACTTTGTTGGGTGTAAAAAATCTTAAACTGGGATTTGGTTGAAGGGGTAGTACATTGATAAGATGGTCAAAGCCATTGAGGCCTTTTCTATTATTCTAATTAGTTTAAAGATGCTTCCCAACCATGTGGTGGAGTCTTGTAGAGGGCTGAAGAAGAACTTCCAGGGGCAAGAGGAAAATGGCTGAACTAAACAAATAAAGGAAAGTGCTTCATGCCTTGAGCTTACTTAGGGGGTAAGAGAGAGACTCTGACACTACGTCTTTGCCAAAGAAAATATTTTTGCATTTTTTAATGGTGATTTTTAGGGCCACCCCTGCTGCTACTGATGAGGCCTTCTTTCAATTTGCAGGCAGTCAACCTTTATCGGGA